TATATATATATATATATATATAAACAAAATTGTGGAAATAGAGATTGAGAAAGAGAGACTAAGCTGAACCGCACACCCCTTTCTTACCATCAAGTAAGTAAATAACTATATAAATAACTATATATATATATATATATATATATATATATATAGTTAGTGAGAAAAAAAGAACAAAGAAAAAGGGGTATAGAATATATAGTGATAAAGTATACATTCCAATTAGTATAGAAACAATGAACCGTAATGATAATAATAACAATGATCCTCATCATCAACAACAACAACAAAAAAGAAAAACAACATCTAAACAACAACAGCAACAACAAGTAGTAGAAGAAGAAAAAGAAAAGAATAATAATAATAAAAAAGAAAAAGATATCTTAACAATGGATGTAGAGTGTACGGGTGGAGGATGTAAACAAACCGATACTCCCTTACTAGAGGAACCTCATCCCATCTATACAACTCATAGAAGAAGAAGAAGAACAGAAACAGAACCTTCTCTATTAGAAGTAGGCAGCAGTAATAGTAATAATAATAATAGTAATAGTGCTGGTGGTCATCATCATCATCATCATGGTATTAACAGTAGTAATAATAATAATAATAATAATAATAATAATAATAATAAGAGTGAGAGTAGTGGTAGTAGTGGTAGTCATTTCAATAGTGCCAAGGGGAGTCCAAGTACTTTTCTCGTTGGCAGCACTTCCCGTTATTGTGGAATGCCATTACCACCACCATCCCCCTCCTCATCCTCACAAACAGAAGAAGAAGTAATAGAAGAAGAAGAAGAAGAAAAGAATAATAATAATAATAATAATAAGAATAATAATAATAATAGTGATAAGAATAATAATAAGAATGAGGAAAATAGATCTTTGCTCCTCTCCTGGCGATTGCCCCCGGCCGCTGTGGGGTCTCCGCCCGGCTCCGATCGCAGCAGTAGTGTTCACTCCAACGCCTGCCTGGAAAAGCGGGAGGAACGCGATTATTATCTCCACACATTTGCCCCTCACGTCGCCCAAACAACGGGGAAAAATTCCGAATTATTATTATTATCAGCATCCGCATTAGAAAAAAGAGAAGAAGGAAAAGAAGAAAAAGAAAAAGAGGGAAAAGAAAAAGAAAAAGGGGATATTCTTCTTATGGAGGAATGTAGTATGAATATGAATATGAATACACGTCGTTGTGGAGGTGAACGGTCGGCGTTGTTGCGGATTGATTTGCCACCATCGCCGTTTTTTTCCTCCACATCACTTCCATCACCGGAGAGTGTTGGGCATGTGAATAGACAGACGAATCCTTCTCAACATCAACAGCAGCATCTTAATAAGAATAATAATAATAATAATAATAATAATAATAATAATAAAGAGAGAAATGAACGGCAGGACTCTCCTCAGCAGGCATTTGGAAATAATGATCATTATAGATATAATAATCATAATAGTAATAGAGTGGTTCATGGGATCTCTACCGATCCACTCGGTTTTTGTACACGTGAGGATTACTGGACAAAGTATAGAGAAACAACCGATAGACCTTATTCACATGATGTATATGAAAGTCTAGAGGAAGATGTCTATACTTCTTCTTCCTCTTCACATCTCTATACACATACAAATGGGAGACTACCGCGTATAGTAACACCCGGTGATATTATGCGGGAAACGGATACTACTACTACTAGTACTACAGAGCCATCCACTAATAATAATAATAAAAATAGTATAGATGATACGAAGAATACACAACGATTTCCAATAATGCCGACTGCTAATACTACTACTACTACTACTACTACTACTACTACTACGAATAATAATAATAACAGTAATTATTATAATAATAGTTGTTGTTGTGTGAGTACGGCTTTAGTTTCCTCCTTTGATGCTGTAGAGGTATTATCTGGATTATATCTTGGAGCCTATAGTGATGCCTTAAACATTGAAGCCCTCGCTGCTCATGGGATTTCACTCGTTTTAAATCTCACAGATGAGTGTGAAATCACAGAGAGTATGCGAAATAATCCTCATCGTATTCAATTTATACAATTCCCTTTAAAGGATCACAGTGATGAGAATATTGCCCGTTACTTTTATCCTTTAGCATGGATGATCCATCAACAACTACATAAACGTGCATGGGCCGCATCTCATCCTCCTCCTCCTCCTACTACTACTACTACTACTACTACTACTAATAGCAGTAATAATAATAATAATAATAATAATAATAATAATATAATGAGTGGAGGAGTTCTTGTGCATTGTCGAATGGGAGTAAGTCGCAGTGCGACGATTATATTGGCGTATCTTATGTTGTATGGAGAAGAACTGACGGGGGATTCCTGTTGGTGTAAAGAGAGTACTGATGTGGATAGTTCACTCTCTATCCTTTCAAATCATTATAATAATCATAATATGAATAGTGGTTCTGTGTGTTTACCGTACAGGAGCACTGCTGCTGGTAATAGTAGTAATAGTAATAGTAGTATGAGTGTGAAAGAGGAAAAAGAGAAGAATAATAACAACAATACTCATAGAAATAATAATAATAATGATAATAATAATAATAATAATAATAATAATAATAATAATAATAATAATAATAATACTGATGATAATAATAGTAATGAGGATCATTGGTGTTGTTGTTGTTGTTGTTTAGTGAGACGTAATCGTGCCTGTGAGTTTGCGGATGAAAGTCCCGATCATCCAACACTTGTGAAGAGTTACCGTGCGGCCTTTGAGTTTCTTAAGAAGCGGAAAAGTGATATTAACCCAAATATTGGGTTTGTTCTTGCACTGCGAGAATTGGATAGTGAATTCCAATCTCCAGTGTGAATAAAACGGCTTGTACTTTTCTTTTTTTTTTTTTGACCTTTGATTTTTCTTTCTTTCTTTGTTTGTTTGTTTACACGGTCTGAGTTCTTTTGCTTTTCCGTACTGTGGGAGAAGAGAAAACTTGAAAAATGGAGGGGAAAAAAAGTAAAGTAAAAAAAAAAAAACGTGTAGTTATATACGTTTAGCCGTACATTATATATATATATATGTATATAGTCTCTCGTGTATTTCTTGTTTTGTCTCTTATTTCCATGCGTCCGTCATGTGTACATGATCTCTCTATCTATCTATCTATCTCCATATAAATATATATATATACACCTTTATCAATGTGTGTAGTATGGGAATATATATATATATATATATGGATGTATCATCATGTTTCTTTTTTTTTGCCACTCATTTATGGGGTAGGGCTCATTGCAGATACTCGTTTGTTTATATGTATACAGGTATATATATTTATATATGGGTAGAAGGAAGAAAAATACATCAAAAGACATATCTCGCTATGCATTTAGGTAATATTCATAACTATTTCTCTTTTTGTTTGATTTTATTGATTGTTTGATTCTTTTTTTTTCTTTCTTTCTTTCTTTGGTATATTATTCCATTTGCTTATTTATGATGTTTTCTCTTTTTTTACTTTATCTA